AACTTGGTGTCCTCTGCAAACTTACTGAAGGAGCACACATAACTTGCATGGGGCAGTATGGGCAGCATAGAGTGCTGCGCCTATGCCAGCAGCTGCCATCAGGAGCTGACATGGCAGAAATGGTGGGACAGAGGGCGAGACTCCACTCCAACAGCAAACAGAGCCAGCGTAAGAAATGCCATGGCCTGCTGACCCTGAGACCGACCGGCCTGGGAACAGGAGGGGAGCCACTGGCCTGGCCTCATTTTTTTTAAAAGCCATGAGGGAGGAGGGTCCAGCATTGCTCACCTGAGTCTTGTTATAGACTGAGCCACTGATATCAGGCACACCTGTGTTACTTGAGGTCACAGAAACACCTGGAAAACAAAAATGCCACTGACAATGAGAAAGTCAACCACCACTCAGCATGAGCCCCATGCTTTGCTCCTGGCACCTCCGGCGGCCTCAGTGGATGCACCTTCGTCTGCAGCTGCAGCACCACATGCCCTGCTGCTGCTGCCGGCCAGCCTGGCGGCGTTCTCCGTGCTCTCAGACCCACGGCACCCCACACAGGAACAGAAGAAAGGGCTCAATTCCTCGTTCCCGCTGCAAAGCGGGAAACCAGCCCGCTGGGATAAATCACCCATGTCCATGACCCAGCGGTTACCGCTTAGATTCAAATGCACTTCACCAGGCAGCAGCTGGCTGCACCAAACACTCATTTAAGCTCGCAAAAAGCCAGCTTTCCCCTAGGATTAGGGATGCATTTGGCTCTAATGCAGCATTCGAGAGCTTTCCAGTAGTGCGCTGAGCGATGAGACTCCACATCTGCTACACATTTGAGCCCTTGTCCTTTCACATCCTGCAGAAGGATGAGGTCTGCAATGCTCCTCTGCCCTGAGAGAATTAGTATCACTGATTCAGGCTGGCTTCCACCTGGACCAGCTGGTGCCACAACAGGCTCAGAAACTCACTTACCAGCGAGGTGACTCTCAAACCAGCCACTTATTCACAGTCTTACAAAGACTGGCTCTAATAATTTCACTTGGATCAGAATAAAACCAGCGGTTCCTTTGGCCAGTAAATCAGAGGACTGGACTCAGAGAGTTTGCACTGCTCTAAGGTTGTACCCTTCCTAGGACATTGCTCCTTTTTGGATTGCTCCTCCACAGAGAAGAACGGGATCAGCTCTTAGCTGAAGACAGTCCAGTTGGTGTTTCAAACGCGCAGCAAATGCTTGGTATTTGCTTAAGCCTACGGATGAACTAGTTAGTGCTAAGCAGCTCAGTATACATTTCTCAGGTCTAACCAGCATGTGCAGAATAAAGCTTTCATATAAGCTGTATAAATTCTTCAGCCTTTACAGTCACAAAGAAAACATTTCCAGGCATGAAACAACGCGATGAGTTACAGCGTGTACAGACAGCAGCTGAAACAACAGCCCAGAGATGTGTGAACTGCGCTGCTTGGCCCTAACACTTGGCTATCTCAGGTGCCTACCAAGAAACTCAAAATATAGTCATCATTTGGCAGAGGACCATTTCAGCAGCAGCATCCAATTGCTTAGGCTTCAAAAACGCAGCACTGCTGCAGGACCACTATTCTTCAGCAAAGAAAACTTTGGCAGAGGAAACAGCTCACCATTTCTCCCATGTATAATTGTGGACAAAGCTGCGCATCAGCCACACAAATCCTTATGCAAAGTTCAGCCATCAGGTTTAGAAGGAACACTTGGGCCATTAAAAAAGCATTTTGTATACGGGAGATGGAGAAACAGCTTGGATCGTGACCCTGTTTAGAGCTGGCTGCTGTGTCGACTGCACAGCACTGGCAAATACTGGGAGTTTGCCCTACTAAATCCCACTGAAGAGCAACCTCAAGTCTCATGTGTTACCTTTCCCAGGTCCAGTGCCAGCAGATTTGTTTTGTGCTTGAGATGACCCACTGTAGCCTCCTTTGCTGTAATCTCCAGCTGCCGTTCCCTGCGTTAAGTCATCATAGCCTGCCGGTGTGTACAAGACAAGGTGTTACAGTGTGCAAAGCAGCTCTGCAGAGGCTCACGTGAAAAGCGCAGTGGTAAGCATACCTGCTCCATAGCCGTGCTGCCCATAGCCACTCGCTTGCTGGAAAGGAGTCGACGCGGTGTTCAGGTTGACTCCATGCTGTTTAGCAGATGCTGGAGGTACCTGGACAAAGGAAGGGAACAAAAGGCGCTGTTAACTGGGGAAGGGCACGCAAAATGCAAGCTCCCTCTGCCATCTAGTGGGGAAGGCACCTCCACCTCACGTGGGAAATTTAATCTGGAGTTGGGAGCACTGGGATGGCACGGGACATGGCACTCATGCTTCCAGCAGTAATTTGCTGTAGTGGATTTGTGCAAATCCCAAGTTTTCTGCTAGAGCTGCCCCTCTGATTGCAGTACAACCCTGTCTCAGAACAGGCTGCGTATTTCTTTCATACACTGAATGTAAACAGCAAATTCTTACCCACAAAGCCAAGAAGGAGCAACCACAGTGTTCTGCCTCCAGAATCAAACGAAACATCAATTCCTGCCTGATGCTGTTTCATAAAACACTGTCCTACGGGGCCCTAAAATAGACTCATCTACCCTTCTGCCTGGAGCATCATCTCTTCCCAAATAACCTTCTTCCTCCGAGACTACCAGCACTGCTCTCTGACTTAATGGGGTCTCCTCCATCCTCAAAAGGATTTCCTAGGCACTTTCAGCTCGGTGACTCAGCTTTGGGTCTCCCCTTGACTCTCCAGAGACTGGTAAGGGCTTTCAGGAACACCGAGTTCATGAGCTGCAGCTGTCTGCTATATACAGTAACCTTGGGGAAGGGATTGCAGCTATTTTCTCATGCTTGCACGTTTTTGGACATCCCTTGCAGACTGGGGAAGATGACTCTACTCTGTTCTCATGAGACCCCACCTGAGTACTGGATTCAGCTCTAAGGTCCCCAGTACGAGAAAGACATGAACCTGTTAGAGCAGGTCCAGAGGAAGGCCACAAAAATGATCCGAGAGCTGGAACATCTCTCCTATGAAGAAAGGCTGAGAGAGTTGGGCTTGTTCAGCCTGGAGAAGAGAAGGCTCCAGGGAGACCTTATTGCAGCCTTTCAATACTTAAAGGGGGCTTATAAGAAAGATGGAGAAAAACTTTTTACCAGGCCCTGTAGTGACAGGACAAGGGGTAACGGTTTTAAACGGAAAGAGGGTAGATTTAGACTGGACATAAGGAAGAAATTTTTTATGACGAGGGTGGTGAAACACTGGAACAGGTTGCCCAGAGAAGTTGTGGGTGCCCCATCACTGGAAGTGTTCAAAGCCAGGCTGGATGGGGCTTTGAGCAGCCTGATCTAGTGAAAGACGTCCCTGCCTGTGACAGAGAGGTTGGACTAGATGATCTTTGAAGGTCCCTTCCAACTCAAACCATTCCATGATTCCAAGATGTAGAAGATTTGGGCTGGAGAGAGCAAAACCAGAGAGGCACAAAGAGAAGGTTACAGTTCAGGCTGTCACACTTACAAACATGGTTGGCCCATACTGGAATGCACTGGGTACGCCGGGCACACCAGCGTAGTAAGGTAACCCAGTGTAGCTGTACCCCGGGGGCAGGGTCGGGTTGAGGAAGGGCTGCTGAGTTGTATGGTGAGTCTGCGTCTGGTTCTGCTGCGGCTGGGCGAGCGTGGTAGCAGGAGCAGGGGAGGCAGAATCCCCACGGCCGAATTTTGTTACGTCACCTGTGAAAGAAAGAACTGATCAGAAAACCTACTCCAAAAGTGGAGGACTCAAAGGATTCAAATCTCTGAATACAAGTAGACAACTACAGAAGAGGGCACATCCTACACTTGAAAGGCTGCAGTTGTTCATGGGAAGCGCTCTCCCGGCCTCTATTCCTGATGGCCACAGGAACATTGCCAGTTTGTGGCACAGAATTCCATGCCATGGCTAATCCATTGATAAAATGGAGATACCACTACTTACCTATCTTACACGGTCTGAGCAGATTCATTACTATCAGATCATTGCAATAAAACATGCTAAAAGCGGAAGTATGGTAAATAGCCAAAGAGCAAATGGTTGTTGGGTTAAAATGTGACTTTCCTGGGGGTTAACCTGATCAGCTAAGCTTTATGGGCTGAAAGCAAGTTAGGATTTACAGGCAGTGATTTTTGTCAATGTCTGTTTATTTGTCAAGCATGACTAGTTAGATGTCCGGTTCCTCACACCACCAAAGTTCTGGAGACAGTAGCTGAAGGCCAGGAAAGCAAGGCTTGCATCGCGGGCCACCTTATTGAAGAAGTAGGAAGGGAAATTCGGTTATTAACCCAAAAGCAGCCTCCCGAGAGAAGTGATTACGAAGCAGAAAACTCCTGAACACTTGCATTTTCTGGCAGCCTACAGAGCAGCATCTTCATGTGTTTTTAAGGAGGTGACATATATCAATCACATCTATCTCATTCCCAACCAGCATTCCTTTTTGTTGGTTACCAAGAAGTATGACAACACTTAATACCATCATTACAGGAATTATAACGCCTATGGCTACAGTTTTAAACTGTAATCAGATGGCAATGGATGAAAACCACTGGCTGAAAATCCTAGATGGCATTAATGTCATCTTTGCACAATGATAATTGAGGAAGGGCTTCTTAGACCACATGCTTTTGGGAATGAAGTCCTTAGATTTGGGGAGGGTGAGAGAGAGCTTGCTAGATGCAGCTCCTGCTGGGAACATACAAGTGCTAAAATAGCAGTAACAAAGCATGGGGAGCTGCTGAGGGGGGTCTATTCCAGTGCCAAAAAAGGAAAGCAGCCAGTTGAATTTCGAGAAGAATGACTAAGCTATGGAATATTTTCCAAGCACCTGTAGGTGCTCGGGAAGGGCACTAGATGACACTGCCATTTACATTCGTAACAATTTTGCACTTATTCTCAAAGGCTATCCAACTTAGTCCCAGAAGAAGTCACATATGAATTACTGACCAAAACCATGAAGAAACATCAACGTCAGGGTTGAGAGGGAGATGCTCGCTTTTGTTTGACTAGTTTGGACTGATGGGTTTAACTGTTTACAGAAGGGAAAAATGATTGCTCTTTCAGCAACAGCAGGATGACCTGCATTTAGAAACCAGCACATCTCACATACCGTCCTCGTCTTTAAATAGCACTCACCTGAGTACGGGTTGTTAGCAAGGCTCCCATCTCTGCCTGTCAAGGTTGCAGGAGCAGGGAACGTAATTCCGTAGTAATCCTTGGAAAGAGACAACGTCGTTTATTAATAGTTGAAACCGTAACAGAGCTGCACAACTCTTATGAACCTCATATTACACGGACAAGAAAATCTAAAAAGGAAGAACTAAAGGAAGTTTGGGCAGAAGCTGACCTTATCACTTATAGCAGAGCTGAAGATTTACCGGGATCCTCAACTTCAAAATAAACCTACTTTATAGACATTTTAAATATTATATACAAATACTTCATCTCTTAATGGTAAGTTAAAGGCAATGACTAAATGCTTTCCCCTCCCAGCCCTCAGCTCTGAGCTGTCATCTTCCAGCGAGACTGCACCTGGAAGAGCAGCAGACCATCGGAGTCCAAAGACCTGGGGTCAGGCCGGGACCATAATCACAACGTGGATGTAGTCTAAAGGTTTTACCCTTGTACCATGCCCTGTTTTCTAAAAGTGGAAATGTCAGCTAGGAAAACAGCACAAACATTTTTTAAAAAAAAAAAAAAAAAAAAAAAAAAAAAAAAAAAAAAAAGAGAGAGAGAGAAAAAGAGTTACTACCAGATGACTGGAAAATTTATTTAAACTACATTACAGGAGACCTCAGATCAGTAGTCTCCAAAGTGGGGTGTGCAAGACAATCCATTAGGGTGTAGGAAGAAAATGTTTTTGATACCATTAATAAATAAAATTTTAAAAATTTAAAAATAGTGTTTGTTTAACCTTTCTCTCATCCTTTTTTAATTCTTATTTTTGTGTTTGTTTTAAAATATACATATTAGTACAGTAGTATATGTATATAATTTAGAAATAAAAATATATTGGGCAGGAGTGCTCACAAATTTTTTACTGATGGGGTGTGTGATAAAAAAAGGTGGAGACCGCTGCCTTAGATCATTCTTCTAGGTCCTCTACAGGAAGGTAAGACAGTCCTCACCCTAGAAATCTTGCACTCTGAGATGACAGGACATGCCAGCAAAACCAAAGCAGCATTTTGTCTTCCGTTTGCGAGAAAATGAGAAAAGTTTGCCCCTCCCTGCCTGGGTAAACTCCACATGTGGGGCTGGTACTCTACTAAGCGTTCTTCTTCCTAATTCTCATGGTTTACTCCTCACCATCGCCAATCCATCAAGAGTTAATGCTTTAACCACTAACATATCCATTTCCACACATTCTCCAACACTGGAAAAACATCCACCTTCTTCATACCCCTCTCTGCAAATTCCCCAGTACCTCAAATGCTTTCTCAGAGTTCACAGCACATTCCACCTTGCTTCATTTCTGTGCATCACCCCGTTTCCTACACCCAATCCTCCATCACTGAACATGAAATAACCCGGCAAAGATTTAGTATTGCAGGTGCTTTCTGTAACTTGAAACGGTGCCGTATTTCATCATCCTTTCCTTCCCAGGTAATTCCACCTTATCAACTCTAGCATGAATCACTTAAGAAAACACAACCAAATCACACTAAAAGCCTTAGTAGTTTACTCATAACAGCGCTCCCGTCTCCTTCCGAGGAAAATGCTACAAAAAGAAGATTTGAAGAAGAGATCTGGAACTGACACACTAGCATTTTCCCCTATATAAACTGGACAAAATATAACCAAATCCGCATGAGAACAGGGTCTAAGGATTGCAATTATTCCCACTGCCTCTCAGGTGGGGGAAAACCACATCAGCGCTGCATATCCCTATCCCACACACCTGTGCATACACACATTCAAAACAAAAAATCATTAGAAAATATGGGTGCAAGCCAGTTATCTTTGCACTTCATGCCCACCCATAGGAAAACATCAGAAGAGATACTCTGCTTTTCAAACAACATGGGTATTTTCTGACCTACAGAAGGCATGCAGGAGAAGGTGCCTAAAGTCAAAACTGAAATATCAGGAATAGACTCAAAACGCGAGACAGAAAAGGACTGAAAATGATAAGTGATCTGACGTAATAGATTTAAGCTCCACCAAGCAGCTCGCTAGGTACCACGCACACCAGCTAAGGCATTTGTAAGATCTCTACTACACAGGCAGCCTGCAACGGACTAACAGAAAAGATAGCATATCCCAATGTGATACACACGCACGCAAAAATAATAAACACAGTGAGAATTTACAGCATCAACATACACATTAATTAATGGAGTTAAATTAAAAAAGAACCCCCTCCCAAACCTCAGGAGAAACCCCCATTCTTGCCGTATCAGCAGCCACCAGTACTTCTCACTGCCGGAAGCTACCCAGGAAGCAGTGACAACTTGCACTTGGGACTCTGCCCACTTTCACTTTCTAGATGTAAGTGGACCAGCATGTCAAAGACAAATATTCCCACCCGCTCCTGCCTCCCAAACACCTAATGTTGCCTAATTTCAACAACAAATTCAAAACACAATAAGAAACCCAAAACCTAGAAATCACAATCGTTGCACAAATAGTTGATGAAAAATCCTTCATGACATTTATGCATTTACTTCTAAATATCAACACACTGAGGACAAATAACTCAGGGGGCGGGGAGATCAGATGACCCCAAAAATATTCTGCAAGATATTTGCAGAGAGGAAAAACTCTTCCACCAGCAAAGCTGTAGATACTATAGAGAAATTAAAAAAAGGAAAAAAAAAGACTGACAAACTAAAAATATTTGTCAATAAGAAATAAGGGAAAACATGCATTAACTCATCTATAAAAATAATATCAGAGCAGGAAATAAGAAAAATAGAGGTTGGTAAGCAGAGAAACTTAAAAATAGAAACCAAGAAAGACAACTCACAAAAAAGATGAAAAGGAAATCCTGAAACGCTTCCCCAGCACAGCTGCCCCAAAAGCCCCTGCTGCCACGCTTTCATCCCCCGCTGAATCGTAGCAGCATAAGAGCCGGGCTCCCCCCGCACGCCAACAGCAGCCCCGGGAAAGAACCAGCTCCCCTTCCCTACAACCACCTCCTGCTCACACTTTGACAAGCACAATAAAAGCCCTCAGGAGAAAGGTAAACGGAAAGCAAAACTGAAAATGGAAACAGGGAAATTCTGTCTAGATGATGATGATGAAAGGAAAGCTGCAGCACCACATAAAGCCGGCCACCCGGCAGCACCC